CAACAGAAACAAGCAGCACGAACAATATCCACGAATGAATCGAGCTGTCAACAAGAGGTCAGAAAAGAAACAAAAAAAATGAACGAACCCAGGTGATGCGCAACCGCCTGGGTGTCGTGTTTATTTTTTATGGCGGGGAGCAAGCTGAGTTGGTTGAAAAGCCGCCGCTCTACGAAATCAACGAGACCCTAATCCCACTACTAGCGAATCGGCCGTAGCTATGGTGTCGCCAATTCACAGTACCCGAGCCTCTGCAAGCAGCGATGCCTGAACAGCACCAGGTCTATGTTTTTTTACTGCTCTTAAAAATTTTGACAAGAGAAGCAAACCAAACGTGTAAATGCTCAATTCTACCCACAGACCTTGACCCTCACTAATCCATGCACCATCTCTCCTCTGTGTGTGTGCACCGTCATGCGACACAAGCGCAATCAGCTCCTTCCTCAAATACTCGTTTTTTCCTACGCGTCATTTCCACTGCCAGGGCAACCAAACGCCAGCGTATAGCACCTCCCCTCCCCGACGAAAAACATCACTTCACTTTCCCCACCCAAAATCGTCTCCACCCTCGTTGACACATACATCCATCGACCACTGTACAACCGGGGGGTGGAGGGCGACGTTGATCCCGCCCACCCTCCTCTTCTCTCTGCTCACCAGCCACAACAAGCGGGCGGATACTCTTCTGGCTGAAAACCTTACCTTACACGGCGCCGAACGACCGGCGAAGTTGGTGACAGCACAACCACGGCACACCTTGAGGGCTGGTTGCATTGTCTTGTCGCCGTCGGCCCTGGGGGCAATTGAGCTAGCTGTAGCAGCTGTTGGCACCCGCGCAAACACGCACGCACGCGTCTCCTCTGCATGAGCTTCCGCACACGATATACCTGCACCATCTTCCACGCTCCCTAAACAGTCCTCAACACACAGCACACACCCGGAGCACGGCACGTGGGCGTGGTACTCCTCCTTCGCTCCCCTCTCGTGCTCGCGACAGCAGGCCTTTGTCGTCCTCTCCCCCGCCCAACCCACGCCGCCGACGCAATGCGTAGTAGCTTACAACACGTGGAGCCAAAAACATCAAAAACTACACCCGCTGGTTCCAGGGCCGGACGACAACTCAAGCCACAGCAGGTGCCTCGCCCGCGGGGGAAGCATCGAAGAGTCAACGTAACGTAACTTCTCTCTCTAGGTCCGGCCCTCGCCCTTCCTCCCCCCTTATCGCGCAATGTGCTCATCATGGCAGCCCCCCTTTTTTTCAGTACGACCAAGTTTCCCTGTACGGGCAGGAAGCGCGCGGGGGAGAAGGGGGGCGGCGGTTAGGCTGGTGGACCACACCGGGGCCGTGGACAGAGAGCTGAGCCTGCCAGGGCAATGGTTTCGCCGAATGATTGGGGTCATCACCTTGAGCGTGGCTGTAAGGTCGCGATACAGAGCCTTCTGTGCGGGCGCGATATAGAGCGTAATCAAGGAAGGATGGTGCACGCATACCAACAGAGCTGCTACGTCAGGCAGAGGCGACAGACGCGAGACCGGAAAGACTGCACGGACACCATCCAGCAAAAAAAAAAAAAAAGTATGGATTCATTGCTAATGTATCCCGGACACACCGTACGCACCCAAGCAGCGTAAATGACCGAATCTTTCACCGAGGCTGCCAGGATCGAACGTGGATGCATTCGGCAATACATAACCCGATCACCCGTTGGGGGTCCTGTCAGAATAAGCTGCTATGGACACGATGGTCACATCATGATGTTGCCTAAAGGCACGGCGGTACGGTTCGCACAGACGGGCCTATGTTTGTGTGCCTAACTGCTGTTGCAGCACAGACACACGATTCTCGTGACAGGCGTCGCTACAGCTACAGCAGTCGTTCTCGATGCGCGCCCACTCACGATCCGACCGCATGTCGCACGACTGAAAATTAAGCCATTCAAGCTGAACCGACGAGCAGCAGTCACAAGTAGGTCGACGAGCCCTTGGCCACTACACGTACCGTCGTCGCTACGATCGCCGCACGAAAATGAACTGGTCACTCACCGTCCGGTATCGAGAGGCCACGCCGCCCCCGCTGCCCCGTGGTTGGGACCCGCAGCGGTAGCAGCGGCGGCAGCGGCAGCAGGGGTAGACGCCGGTGGGGCTCCTCCTCCTCCCCCTCGGAAGCTTCCGCCCAGCGACGTCAAGCCGCTCTGTCTTCGTTCGATCTCGACCTCGAAACCGTCTCGTTCTCGCGACGACTCCTGCTGCGGACACACAAGGTTGTTGTTGGAGGGAGAATGCTGGAAAAACGTACCATGCGCCACGGCGCACTGAAAGCACAGGAGGAAACAAGAAACACACAGGGTGGTGACGACTAACAGTCGGGCAGGGAACCATGATCAAGGATCTTGCACGCGCTGGGGGCCCGCCCGTAGCCAACGATTATCATCAAAACGACCACGTGGAGGGCAAACGGGGGGGGGGGGGGGGGGGGG